GTTTCACAAAGACAGGATTAGAAGTTTCACAAAAATGGGATTACATACAAGCTTGTTCTGTGAGGACTGGACGTGCCTTAGTGTGTCACCAAGGTCCTCAGTATGGGAGTCAGAGTTTCAGGAACAGCTGCTACATGGCGCTGTGTGTGATGTGAATTGTGTAATCAGGCATGCACTATTCTCCTATTGTATTTTTCAAGGCCTGTGAAATAAGTCAGTGAACCTCATTTTCTTAAAGAAAAAAAGAACCTTTTCCTTAGAAAAGTTCTAAATTTCTACTTTGGAAATTTATTACCAAGTACTGCTGATTCCTACCATTTTGTATCCCTTAAACCATCTGTCTCTCTCAATAATGACCACCACAACCTTTGTTTAGACTTGGACTCTTTACCACCATATTCCACATTGCTGCCAGAGTGATTTTATTAACTGAGTTGTGTTATTTTCTGTTTAAAGTCCTGCAAAAGTACTTCATGACCTTTAAGTAAACTTCAAATTCTTTAACATCTCATATAAAGCCTTTATGACCCAGTTCTCACTAACTTCTGCAGCTTTATCTGTCATCAGTCCATGTTCCAGCTAAAGTTAGTTATCCACTTTTTCCTAACTTCTCATGTGTCTGAGCTTTTATTTATGTTACCTCCTTTCCCTTCATAACTTTCTCATCCTTTACTTGTTTTCTCCTACTCCTCTTTTCTAGACCTTGCTCAGGTATCATCTCCAGGAAGTCTTCCTTGATCACCTCCTCTTAGTGCTCCCTCACATCTATTATAATCTTGAAATAAATAGTAGTTTCTTTTTCCTATTAGACCATCAAGCCACTTGAGGATGCAGATCATGGCTTATGTAAATTATATTTCTAGGATTTAGCAAAATGTTAGTCAAGTAGTAGGTGTTTGATAAATATTTATTGGATAAATAAATCTCTTAAAAGATCAAAGGCTCACCTTCTGTAGTGGAATAACTGCCCCCACCTTGTGGCGTTATAGGATAGTTCCACTATAAACCTTTGAAGTCATCTTTGTAAATTAAGGGTACAATTGATGCCACCTTTATGTATTTGCTCAGTTGTTTTTTTGAAAGTTTTCAACTTTTTTTCCAGAATTTGGTATGGCAGGCATTGCTTACATGTAGCCACCCAGGCAGATCAATCCTCTGCAGCTGTTCTTATAATCAATATCAGTATCGAGACCCCAGCGGGAGCCCAAGGGCAGCTACGGGGCCGCTGAGGCTTCTGGCGCCGCCTCGGCCAGCCCTTCCTGCACGGTGAGGACCCCGGGACTGCTGCGGGAAGGTGCTGGAGGTTCCACTGCCTTAAGGATGACAGTCCTAGGGCCCCTGAGAAGTTGGAGCTGCCAGTGGTTGCCACTCCTGATGCTGCTGCTGAGCACAATGGGGGTGGCAGGTGTGACACACTACAAAGCCGGCGACCCTGTCATTCTGTATGTCAACAAAGTGGGACCCTACCATAACCCTCAGGAGACTTACCACTACTATCAGCTTCCAGTCTGCTGCCCTGAGGAGATCCGGCACAAAAGCCTTAGCCTGGGTGAAGTGCTGGATGGTGACAGAATGGCCGAGTCTTTGTACGAGATTCGCTTTCGGGAGAATGTGGAAAAGAGAATTCTGTGCCGCGTGCAGCTCAGTTCTGCACAGGTGGAACAGCTGCGCCAGGCCATCGAGGAATTGTACTATTTTGAATTTGTGGTGGACGACTTGCCACTTCGTGGCTTTGTGGGCTACATGGAGGAGAGTGGCTTCCTGCCTCACAGCCACAAGGTAGGACTCTGGACCCATTTGGATTTTCACCTGGAATTCCACGGAGATCGAATTACATTTGCCAGTGTCTCCGTGCGGGACGTCAAGCCCCACAGTTTAGATGGGTTACGACCTGATGAGTTCCTGGGCCTCACCCACACGTACAGTGTGCGCTGGTCTGAGGCCTCAGTGGAGCGCCGGAGTGACAGGCAACGTGGTGATGATGGTGGTTTCTTCCCCCGAACACTGGAAATCCATTGGTTATCCATCATTAATTCATGGTGCTTGTGTTTTTACTGGTGGGTTTTGTGGCTGTCATTCTCATGCGTGTGCTTCGGAATGACCTGGCTCGGTACAACTTGGATGAGGAGACAACCTCTGCAGGTTCTGGTGATGACTTTGACCAAGGTGACAATGGCTGGAAAATCATCCATACAGATGTCTTCCGTTTCCCTCCGTACCGTGGTCTGCTCTGCGCTGTGCTTGGTGTGGGTGCCCAGTTCCTGGCCCTTGGCACTGGCATTATTGTCATGGCGCTGCTTGGCATGTTCAGTGTGCACCATCATGGGGCCATTAACTCAGCAGTCATCTTGTTGTATGCCTTGACCTGCTGCATCTCTGGCTATGTGTCCAGCCACTTCTACCGGCAGATCGGAGGCGAGTGTTGGGTGTGGAACATCATTCTTACCACCAGTCTCTTCTCTGTGCCTTTCTTCCTGACCTGGAGTATGGTGAACTCAGTACATTGGGCCAATGGTTCGACCCAGGCTTTGCCAGCCACCACCATCCTGCTGCTTCTGATGGTTTGGCTGCTGGTGGGCTTTTCCCTCACTGTCATTTGTGGTATCTTCGGGAAGAACAGTGCTAACCCCTTTGATGCACCTTGTCGCACCAAGAACATCACCCGGGAAATCCCACCTCAACCCTGGTACAAGTCTACTCTCATCCACATGACTGTTGGAGGCTTCCTGCCTTTCAGTGCCATCTCTGTGGAGCTGTACTACATCTTTGCCACAGTATGGGGTCGGGAGCAGTACACTTTGTATGGCATCCTCTTCTTTGTCTTTGCCATCCTGCTGAGTGTGGGGGCTTGTATCTCCATTTCGCTCCCCTACTTCCAGTTGTCAGGGGAGGATTACCGCTGGTGGTGGCGATCTGTACTGAGCGTTGGCTCCACTGGGCTCTTCATCTTCCTCTACTCAGTCTTCTACTATGCCAGGCGCTCCAACATGTCAGGGCCGGTACAGACAGTGGAATTCTTTGGCTACTCCTTACTCACTGGTTACATCTTCTTCCTCATGCTGGGCACCATCTCCTTTTTTTCTTCCCTGAAGTTCATCCGTTATACCAACATCTCTCCTGATTGACTGACTTGTGTGATGGCATTGTTGCCTTTCCCTTTGCCCTTTGCGCCTCCCTTTCCGCGGGAAGTTCCGGAAATTATAAATCTCTATTATATAAGAAGTATATATTTGAACTTTTTAAGTTGCCTTTCATTTTGGTCCTGATTTTTCTTTTTACAATTATCAAAATAAAATTTATTAAGAAAAAGGAAAAAAAATATCAGTATCTATAGTCATATTAATCCAGCAGTGAGGCCCCACTGATCCCGCAGCTGGGCAGAGTCTTTGCTTGGCTTCATCATATTCTGGTTATTTTGAACACATAGATATAGTCTGGGGAACAATTGGTGGTATAAAGGACATGGTTATTCTTAATGAAACATGATGACAGAACAAAAAGGTTGCTTTTAGGAAGAGCTCCATGAAATATATATCCCACTTGTATTTTCGGTGGACATGATAAAAGTTTTAGCCAGATCTATCAATCTTTCACAATTCCCAGATGCAAAAGAAAAGACATCATAATTTTCTACAAAAACCTGTTTTGTAGGCAGCTATCAAAGTCAATCTAACTTTTTCCTCTGCTTCAGTGGCTTCCTAATGGTGAAAAAATGTAATGGGGGAGTATTGTATGAGAGTCATAGATTTCTGTAGAGGAAAAAGTTTTCTGTATTATTGACTAAGCATGTATTGTTGCTTAGCTCCACTTGTTTTCTAGCTTGAAAATTATTAATATTTACATACGTTTATTTTCATTAATACCCACCAAAAGTCCTTGGGGGAAAAAAAAGGCTGCAAGAGATCAGTGCAGATTATGGGATCTATAAGTGTGTCTGTAGTTAAGCTAGGGGACACTTAACTTTCTGAACCCCAGTTCTCTCACGTGTCACATGACATCCAGAATGGGCATGAAATTGCATGAAGACACTGGGTACAATTCCTGGCACATAGCAGGTACTCAAAAATGTTACTTAGGATAAGATTGAATATGACTCAGGCTGGTTCTAGGCATCTGTTTGCTCATCCCACTTATTTTCTCCTTGCTCAGTTATTTTGATGAATTAAAGCTGACTGCTGGTTTTGTCTCAGGAAGTGGGAGTTTACTGCTTCTATCCTAGTTGAAATCATAGACAAAAGTAGAAAGATTGATTTCTAGGCTTGGTTGTTCATTGAAGTTCAATTTACTTATAGACAATACAGATTTATTGAGCATTTATGATGTGTCAGGCTCTGGACTAGATGCTGGATATTAAAGATAAAGATGACATGGGTCCTTATCCTTAAAGAAACAATAGCCTTATGAGCAGGTTCATCACTTAGAGTTTTTGAGTCGTTGTGTGAATGAAGTAAAGAAATAATAATGATAGTCTTTGAGTTCTGACCTATCTAAACAAATCAGCCAACGAATGAAGCATTTCTTCTCTGGTAGTGAGGATATTTTAGTAGAGATTGGAGCTTGTGGGAGACACTACTTTGTGAACTATTAGCTAGTAAATAATTTATCATTTTAATTAAATAGGATTTTTTTTTCTAAATTCCTTTGCTGTGGCTTCTTTCTTTTTCAAGGTGGTAGACAATAGTACTGTAATGTACCAAAATAATTTTCTAGAAATAATGTTTGAGATATGTATACACAAAAAATTCAGACCCTTGATTTCAGATTTATCCTTAGATGTGATGCTCTCTAATTTAAAGCTGGATATCTTCTCCCTCTCTGTTCCTTGGTAGTTTATTAAGTAGTTATTTTTATTAGGAAATATCATTCTTAAGTTCTTTCCCACGTTGTTGCATGTATGAACCCGCAGAAACTCACCATGGCTCATTGATGGGAACACAGAGGAAATGTTAATTACATTCAGAAGTGGGTAGCCCTGTCAGTTACTCTTCTTTGTTTTACAGAGATGAACGAAATCAGTCCATCATTGTAAGTGGAGAGTCGGGGGCAGGAAAAACAGTCTCAGCTAAGTATGCCATGCGATACTTTGCCACTGTAAGTGGTTCTGCCAGTGAAGCCAATGTTGAGGAAAAGGTCTTGGCCTCCAACCCCATCATGGAGGTAAGACAGCAGGCTTGCCTTCTTACTATATTCTCTTGTTAAGAAGATACAGCACCTGTGAGAAAGTCGGGGACCTCCTACCCACTAAAAGTAGGAAAATACTTTTTCATATGTTAGTGAGAGATCTAGAAACAGTCAATATTCAAGAAGGTAGATATTTCGAGTATAGTTCAACTGTAGAGGAATTTATTTCACAATCCTGCATTTTCAACTTAGCATTGAATTGTTGCCTCTAAAGAGCTGGCAATGCTACTTCATTTCCTGAAGTTTCTTACTCATAGTTAATTGACTCAAATCTATTGCTCCTCGTTCTAGAAGAATAAGTTATTAATTTCCCCTCAACCCCGAGTTCTTATTTAAGCTCCTTCCAAAATATAGGATTCACTATGTTCGAGCATGAATGAGTTTGATTATTCCTTTGTCCACATTTCATTTTATGTACTTAGCCCAACCAGTTTAGCTATAAAATTTGATTTTTTTCCAGATTTAAACTATAAACTTAAATTATGATCTTGTAAACATTTTCCTTCTTGTTTCTGTCAGTTATATCACATAATTTTAGGTTAGAAAAAGAAATTCAATAACTATAAACTCTTGAGAAAGGAAGAACTATGAAAGGCTGTCCTTTTAAAAGTGGAATATGTATATCAAGTAGATATGCTTGTGCCAAAGAAAATGGACCTATTTGTGTGAGAATTTTAGTATTTGTAAGTAAAGAATTATTTGTCTAATATGATTCTAGGAAAGTTACATTTTTGTTAAGTACTCCCATTAAATGGAGAAAAATATGTCTTATTAAATGGAGAGAAATTAGTTTGCAGAAACAAATCTTTTTTATTAAAATTCAAATCAGCATATTTTATTCCTGTTTTTTCCTTTGTCAAGCCTTATTTGCCACCCAAACACAGATGGAGTTTAGAACTGGCCTGGTGCACTCGTGGTACAAGTGGTTTTTGCAATAATGAGTCCAGAGGTAATTGTGCCTGGTTTGCAGTGCTGTGTGTGACACTTCAGAACAGATGTTGTGACCCATTGCTTATAGGGCTGCCTCCTAGAGCCGCAGGACTTCTCTTCTGGGGGAAGTGAAGAGGACGCCTGGGCCGGGTGCACTGTGGAAAGAGAACTGGAAAAGTTTTCTGAAATAGCATGGACTGGAGGAAACAGAAGTTTGTTCCAGAAGAGAGTAGTAAAGATTTTAAGCAACTATTAAGATTTTGAAGAATTTAAGCTACAGTAGTGGGTGCTACTAGTATTAATATTGGGGCATTTCAGCCTGTAGAGCCAGTTTGGGGATTTGGCTCAGGAAACAACAGGGCTTTACTTCTTACCATTATTTTGACTGTTTTTGGTCATGACAATGAATTCTTAGTATATGACAGTAGTTTAGGCCATTCTTAGTCCTTAATGTTAGAATATGCCAAAGTCTTCATTGTGATGGTATCAGGAAATTCCATCTTTCCTAGGCCTGGACCAGATAGTAATGTAAGTCTGGAATGAACCTGCTAAAATATGTCAAATTGAATGAAATAGTTTATGACCTTGCTATATTCTCTTTCCAAAAATAGCTACATTGGTTTTTCTGCAACACAGACTTTAGTTGTGTTAGTGGAGTGATATTAAAAATTTGGAATAGCCATAGAGGCTAATTTTTAATATGCTGACATAAGGAATTTGCCCTCTTTGCTAGGATGAGCAAAAAAAAAGATAAAGCCATCAGTTAAGCTTAGCTACTTCCATCTTTATTATTATTTAGTTTTTCTATAAGAACTTGGAGAAAGAAAATCAGTAAAGAGATAACTAATTTTAAAAATCTATGGAGGCATCCCAATTTGAAAGATTAAAATGGAATATGGGGCTTACGAATGGGGACAACGAGTTTACAGTATAAGAAAAAACAACATAAGTACAATATTGAATATGTGGCCCATAAAATTTGTAGCTTTAAACCTGCCTTCAGACTATGTTGTTGTATCAGAGCCCTTTACTGTGATTTCAAGAAAGGCGAGTCCGGATTGCCAGTGATCTGCTGAAATGCCTCCTTGGATAATGAGCATTCTTTATGGTTAACATCACAGCCCAGTGGCTAATAGGATTTGCACATTATCCTTCAAAAAGCAAGCTCCTCATCCTCAGCATGGGCTCCTTTTGCAAAATACAAATGATGTACAAAGAAGTGATTCTTTTTGCTCTATTTTATCACATTTTCATTTTCTCCCTTTCTCCTGGAAATTTTTGCCCTGATGGGGACATAGAAGATCTTTGGGGCACTTTGGGTCTTTCTTAATTGTTCTTTTTCATCTTCAGTAACTGTAGTTGAAGAGCTTCATCTCCATTTAGTAAAGAAGAAGGATAAATCACTGAACATTTTACTGAAGTCAATAGTAAAATCAAGATCACAAATTATCTCCTTTTCTGTAGCAATTTCTTGCTGAATGAAATGAAAATAGCATTAAGGGAGGCTGTTGTAAATACTTATAAGGCAGAGGAAACAGAGAGAATGGACAAAAGGTACTGTTTATATATAGAACCATCTTTCCATATCAGGTTCAAGCCTTAGAATCATGTCTTTTTATTTTAAAAGAACCTGGAGCTCATCTATCCTAGGCAGTTTATACTTCGGGACACTAAAGCTCCTCAAAGGATTAAATCAGGGGAACGTCCAGCCCATTGGCCGTATAAGACCCACAAAATCATTTGGTCTGGCCCTGCCAAGGCATTAGGGGTGAGTTAATTAAATCTTTGACCAAATAGAGCAGGCTAATTTTTAAGTGGATAATTTTGTATGGCCCTTGAGTGATGTTACAAATAGCCAAATGGCTCTTGGTAGAAAAAAGGTTCCCCACCCTTGGATTAAATGATGGCAAGTTGGCAGTAGGGCCTGGTCTGATAGCCACATCTTTAGACTTCTGTTTCATTGGCTTCTTTTACCATTTTTTGCTCTATGTATAAATACCTTTTACTCAAAGGCAAAGGGGTATATTTTAACCCTTGCCTACCCACTGTCTCTTCTCACTGAGTAGAGAGGAGAGAGATGCCATATGGCCGGTGAGATAAGGAAGGGAGGGAGGAGAAGCTGTGGCTCACCTTTCCCTAACTTGCTTAGATGCTAGCAGGAAAGTACTTAGGACAGAGCCTGGTAAGCACTCGGTAACTACTACTGCTGCTGCCAATGTTGCTGCTGTAACCCTTCACCTGCTCTTTCACAGAATATATGGTGTGAAAGAAAAGTTTGCATTTATCATTAATTTCCTTTTCTAAACAAAATAAAAATAATGGGAATATTTGGAGACTGTTTGCTGTGCTTTTTATAACATCAAGAAGGGGAGCCCTGGCTGGGTCGGGTGGCTCAGTTGCTTGGAGCATCGTCATATACACCAAAAGGGTGTGGGTTCAATTCCGGTTTAGGGCACATACCTAGGTTGTGGGTTTTTCCCCCGGTTGGGGCATGTATAGGAGGCAACCAATCCATGTTCTCATTCATTCTCATTCTTATTTTCTCTCTCTTCCCCTCTCCCTCCCTCCTTCCTTCCTTCCTTCTTTCCTTCCTTCCTTCCTTCCTTCCTTCCTCTCTAAGATCAATAAAAAAGCATATCCTCTGGTGAGGATTTTAGAAAAAGAAAAAAGAAGGGGAATATTTGAGTAAATATCTTTATTGTTAAATTATGTCATGCTGTTATTTTTTCTGGGAAGATATCTTTCAGCCTTTCCATTAAAAATATTAATTGAAATACAGTGGGGCCTTGACTTATGAGTTTAATTCGTTCCGAGACCGAACTCGTTAACTCAAATTACTCTATCAACTCAGTGCAAAAAATCGGCCGAGAGACAGCTGGTATCTCAAAAAACTCGTTAGTCGGGACACTCGTAAGTCAAGGCCCCACTGTACAGCAGTATTCTCATTGCCAAAACAAAATAGAGCAGTACCTGCCCCGTATTTTAGAGAGCAAAAATATATTTTATTTGATGGAACAGATAGTCTAATATGTTGACTTTTGTGGCTATGCTACTTTTTTCATCACATATTTGCATTGGCTCCCCCCCTTGTTTTTAACACTCCAAAGCATTTTCACATCTTTCTTATTGCTATGGTTTCAGTATACTAATCTTGATAGTCACAGACTTTGCACAAGTAAAATAATCTTATGAAAGTATCATATAAAAGATTTAATATATGCATTTTATGAACACTTGATTTTCTAACTGTACCATGTTTTTTGCTTTGCCGAAAGAAAAATGTTAGAAGCATGTTATCTTAATTTTTAAGATTATATTAAAAATTTAGAAGAAGGTTACATTCTCTGCATTCTGTAGCAGATGTTTTGCAAGTTAGATAATACTACCAAAATCCAAAGCCAAATTTTACTGTATGGTTTCTGAAAATGGTTTTGAATGGAGTGAGTAATTACTAATTCTCCAACTGGACCTTTGTTGTCACAGGATGAGCTGATATGAACTTCTGCTAAAGAGATCCTGAACACCAGAGCCATATTTTCAGGAGAATATTAAATTTGCTTAGCCAGCTTATTTAAATAAAACAGACTAGGATTTTTAAGAAATCAAAACCCTGATGTTTAACTAAGAGGGTTTGTGCCTTGGCAGCTCCCAGTGACATCCATTCTGTTTCTTTGCTGCCATGAATGAACGTGTTCAGATACACACATGGTGTATGAAGACCTCCCAGCTGTGGTTCAGGTTTACTGTTTATGAAAATAATTTGTGTGAGAATAATAAGGCAGATGCAAACTATTAGTGTATATCTGTGTGATTGTGCAGTGAGCAGAACATACACTTGTGCCCGCAGAGGCAATATTTATTCTGGTCTTAAAAGAATCAGTTTTAAAGGATCGTGTTCTACTCTGTCCTTTCATTGAACCAACTCTGTAAATGCCGTGTCATGAATTGCACTTCTAAAAGATGGTTGGACTTTGGGTGGTGGGCACACAGTGCAATATACAGATCTTGTATTATAGAAATGTACACTTGAAACCTTATATGATCCTATTAACCAATGTCACCTGAATAAGTTTATTTTAAAAAATAATAAAATCTTATCCTCCCCCTCACCCCCTCCTTGTTTCTTAGTCAATTGGAAATGCTAAGACAACCAGGAATGATAATAGCAGCCGTTTTGGGAAGTATATTGAGATTGGTTTTGACAAGAGATATCGAATCATTGGTGCCAATATGAGAACTTACCTTTTAGAGAAATCCCGAGTGGTGTTCCAGGTAAGTTGGGCATGTACACATATACGTGTGTTAGGTGGCCATAGAATTCCAGAGCTCATGCTTGCTGGTTTGCATTTTATTTCCAGATACTCGTGAGTGTATTGTGACAATATTAGCACAAACCACATTTGGACTGAAACATGAAAATGATGCTTGCTGGAGGTGGGGGAATACCCATCAGATGCAAGCATATTGAACTCGCAGCCGGCAGGCAGCATGCTTCATTTATTTAAAGGAGACATGCGGCCTGCCAGCCACGAGTTTGACATGCTTGCATCAGAGTAATGGTCTTTTGGGCTGGGCACTGGTTTAGGTTGAATAGTTTTGGCTTTTTCCAGCAGATGCTTGTAGGATAAGCTTAGTTAAGAAGAGGTGCTATTATTTCAGTCTTATCTCTCATAATTTCAATTGATAGGAAAAACATTGGTTTATGTGTTCAATGAGTTATAGTTTGAACTCAATTTAAGAAAAAAATTATTACTGTTTTCTTTCCTTCCTCCTCCTCCTCTCTTAGAATATGATATTATTTAGATAGAGTAATGAGGGTTTAAAAAATCTTCACAACTCATTTGTGAACTACTGTCAACACACTCAAGTTTATATGTCTCTGCAGGAAATCCTTCACAAATCTGCTCCTGGTCCTTTTTTATCTGTAAGTGGGAAATAGTATAGATTACAACATGGGCAGGCGTGCGCCGATATATTTACAAGCATGCGAAGGAAATATGTTCTTATCATTGGAAAACTCCCAGTAGAAAGCTCCTGATGCCCCACTGCACGCTGTGAGATCAGGGTTTCTGTAGCCCCTTAACTGGATGCCCACTGCACTGAAGTTCAGATTCCTCTGGCACTGCCATGTAGCAGCATCTACAGTTTCCATTGCACAAGTCAGTTTTGAAAGTTCCTGGGACATACTGGGAGTCATGAGTTTGGGCAGCCTGCAGTTACCCTGGCTTTGACATTGGGCATGTGCCTGATTTGTGGCCACCTAAGGTATAATACCTGAGTAAAGCAATAGCCACTCTTCTCCATTGTTTTAATATGTAGGTACACATAGAGCAATGTTAATACTTACACATATATACTTGTATAGGTTTTAAAAAATGTTTAGTAGCCTAAAGGAAGAATGGGGAATATATGTAGATTTAAGGGAAAATTGGGTTTAAATAGTACAGATAAGATTGATAGATAAACAATTAAAGGTTAAGTGGATATGGTGGCCAGAGGCTAGTAGGGCTTAAGACAAAATGTTAAGGCCTAATTCTATCTTACCTAGTGATATTGAAGCAATTCTAGTCGTTGCCCAATCCCCAGGGCTAAGTAATATTGAGGAAGCATGGTATGCCAAAATGAGTCAGATGGAGCCTAACTGATATTGTCCTCCATGTACAGAGGACCAAAGCATTTCTGTAGATTCACCCACTTTCCTAGTTGTCCGTGAGCCTAATTACCTGATCATGCTTATGATTATTTGTTATATTGTTAATGTGTTCTGTGTCTTCTGTCCCTGTAATAGGTATACTTTACCCAGCATCAGCTCCCTTTGGGCATCAAACCTGACCTTGGCCTTACGTGCACTATTCTTTAGTCAGCTGAATACACTGAATAATTCAAGGATAGGATAATATAGTACTTAATTTTGCATGAATATTATTACAACTCTATTTTTAAAATATATACTAGTGTGTGGAAAAATATTCAAGAGATACTAAAACTTATTTAGATTTGTACATGATTTATTTTGTATTTTATAAAATATTTTTATTAATATTAAAATATATAAGCCAAAATACACAAGATGTAGTGTATTTGTGAATTTCTTAAAACAACCACAGTAGATAGGCCAGTCTAAATTATGGCAAAAAGTAAGATATTCTTTGTCATCTAAGGTGTTAGGGAGACCATGAATCTAAGAGTCACTGTGAGAAAATATTGAGTATTCTAAAAAAAATGATTTTAGCTTCCCTCAAAGGCAATGATTTCTTATGACAATGACATATATCAAGCTGTTCACAAGTTCAGAAAGCATTACTATCAGATATTTTATGTGCATACTTACCCATTTGCACATGGCTAATAAACCATAAGATTTAATAATCATAAATACATATTAGGAAATTTGGGAAAGGACAGTTTATTGCACCAAGATTAAATATTAAATTTTTATTTTATGTTTGAATTTTCTGAGTTTTAGGTTAAAATGATGTAATTGAAAATTCTTCTTATTTTAAAGGCAGAAGAGGAAAGAAACTATCATATATTTTATCAGCTTTGTGCGTCAGCAAAGTTACCTGAATTTAAGATGTTGCGATTAGGTAAGAATATGGCATTAGATTTATTGCACTGGTATTGTTTTCTGTTAAATTATGTTAATTATGAGTTTATAAGCATACTTGTTAAAAAGAAGATTATCTCATACTGAAATATTTATGGATGACATAAGAGGTCTGCAATTGGCTTCAAGGTAACCCATGGGTGGGATAGGGAAGGAGGAATAGCTGTCTAAATGAAACAAGATTGGTCTTGTTTAAGATGAATGATGAGTACACAGGTGCTCATTATACTAGTCCCTCTACTTTTGCATATGTTTGAAATCTGCCTTACTAAAATAAGTTGAAGGAGTTTATGTGATTGATGGAAGCCTGCGAAGTTTCTGATAAGGGGAGTGAAGTGTTTGAAGCATGTTGATTGGAATAATACCGATATAGGAAAAGACTAATCATTTCACCAAATAAGATAAGTAAACTATGAACATTTCACTTTATTATATAATTTTGAGTTTTGTATTAAAATATAATTGAAAACACAAACAGTGGAACTCCTGACTCTATACCAGGGGTGGGCAAACTTTTTGACTCGAGGGCCACAATGGGTTCTTAAACTGGACCGGAGGGCCGGAACAAAAGCATGGATGGAGTCTTTGTGTGAACTAATATAAATTCAAAGTAAACATCATTACATAAAAGGGTACGGTCTTTTTTTTTTAGTTTTATTCATTTCAAACGGGCCGGATCCGGCCCACGGGCCTTAATTTGCCCACGGCTGCTCTATACACTCAACTGCACAGTCATTGCTCCTAATTCAGAGTAGATGAAAGGGTAGAAATCAATTTCATAGACTGCAAATCTTTTCCTTCTTATTTGCAGGAAATGCAGATCACTTTCATTACACAAAGCAAGGTGGCAGTCCGGTGATTGAAGGAATCGATGATGCCAAGGAGATGGCCCATACCAGGCAGGCCTGCACTTTGCTCGGTAATGTGACTTTATTCTTGAGCTCTATGAGCAATAGCTTTTTGACTCAAGCAACCTTTATTTGTATTATTGACTTAGCTTCATATTAAGTGGTGAGTATAGTTGAGGGATATTTAACATTCCTTATAAAACACATTTGGACAGCAGATGGGCACAAATTCTTTTGTGTATTTTTATTTATTTTTTGCCCAGAGTGGGAACTGTTCTATAATTAGATTGTGGTGATGGTTGCACAACTTTGTAAATTTACTAAAAGTCATTGAATTGCATACTTACAACAGGAATTTTAAGGTATGCAAATTATTCTTCAATAAAGCTATTTAAAATGCACATTCAGGACATCAAGGGAGGTATGACTAATTAACTCTGCTTAAGTTTTTACAAAATCTAAAACCTGGAGATAAATGAAATGGGTTCATATTTTGTAGAGGTTTTTTTTGTTTTCTGTGGCTGGAAAATGTAACTGAGCTGGTTGGGTGACAAAACAATGTATTACACGTTGAAATGACTCAGATGTCACTGTCTTGTTTCTGATATTTAAAAAATATTGGGTCTACATATAAATAAATAATTCTTTAGAACTTAGTATACAACTTTCATGATGAATTATTTATATAAAAACCTCAAAATATGAATAAATCTAAAATTGTATGTTGGTAATTTTGAGGGTACCCTGAAGTGAGTTAATTTAATTGAAAAGCATTGCTATTCAGAGGATGGTCCAGGACCACTCTCGAGCTTGTAAAAATTCAGAATCTCAGATCTAACTCAGACCTACTGAATCAGAATCTGCATTTGAACAAGATACATGGGTGACTCATATGCATATTAAATTTTGAAAAACACTCCCTTCTAGGCATAAATCTGTTGATAAATAGAAAATTAGAAAACAAAACATAACTCAGGAGGTGGCAAGAACATTCATTATAAGATCAATGCTTAGTTCCCCTGGATATGATTACACATTTGGAAATAATTTTACTATATTTACTTGTATGTATACACATCTAATATTCTGGAAATTCTTACCTTATTGAAAAATGAAGGCAGATCTGATCAAAAGCCAAGAGCTGTCCAGCTTTCTTATCCTCCCTTATACTCAGGGCCCACTTTAATGCTGCACTTGGACACTCATTCATCAGCCTGAACACTTTTAAGCTTGGGGTCTCTTTGGCTTATACTTGGTCTGTAGTTAAAAGAAGTAATTAAAAAATCTGACTTAAAACTTCCTTATTGGGCTACAATTTGCATTTGAAGTAGAGATGAAAAGAAAAGGTAATAATGTTAATAAAATACTTAAATCTAGTTTGTGAAGATGATAATTTGCTTAGCACTTACCATGTGTCATAGAGTGTACATTTTCTCATTTAAAGTTCGTAATCACTGTTTGAGATAGTCACAATTATTCCCGTATCTCAAATGAGAAAAAGAAGCAGAGCAGGGTGAAGCTACCTGCCCATGTGAGATGGCAGGTCGGGAGCAGAGCCAGGCCTTGAGTCCAGGACCAAGTGTGTCTCACTCCACACCTCATGCTCTCTACCATGATGGAAATAATTTTAACGATGATACATTATAATGTGTACAATATCTGGCAATGTTTAAGAATTAAAAATAGGCTTAAAATTATCTGCTATAATTATTTAAGAATTAAACATAGGCACATAGGCTTAAAGTTGTCTGCTATTTAAAAATTAATCACTGTTCATTTACTCTCTTGTTTCAGGTATTAGTGAAAATTATCAGATGGGAATTTTCCGAATACTTGCTGGCATTCTTCACCTAGGTAACGTTGGATTTACATCTCGAGATTCCGACAGCTGCACAATACCTGTAAGTTCAGAACAAGCTTCGTGTGATGGCAGTTGATTTGTATTTTAGATTTGTTACTTCTTTATGGAAGAAATATATTTGAAGTCTCTCTGTTAACATTATCAGAGAGATAATTATCAGACATGTGAAATCTTAAAGTGAAAATACAGATTCTAATCCCTGGTGCACAGTGATTGTGTGTGTGTGTGTGTGAGAGAGAGAGAGAGAGAGAGGGAGAGAGAGAGAGAGAGAGAGAGAGAGAGAGAGAGAGAAAGGCAGAGACAAAGAGACAGAGGATAGGAGACTCAAACTTGTATACATGTCTGATCTGTATAAACAGAGGTTAGAAATATATGTGAAAGTTGGATTGATGAGTCTAGCGAGAAGGTTTTATTTGGCACAAGTGCCAAGAATTGATAACTTTATTTTTTCTCCAGCTGGTATGGTTCAAAAACTATTCAAAAACTGTTAGCAGTGGTTACTCCTAGGAAGAGGGACTAGATGGCCGTGAGATGAGGTGTCTTCACTATGATTTACATTTTCTTCCACCCATAGTGATAACTGCACACAGAATTAAAATGCACTTCCATATGTGAAAACATTTGTTTAAACTAACAAACCTGACAATCCAAATTGTCCTCATTGGGCATTTGTGATTTGTAGTGTTTGCTTATCATTATCATCAAAGATAACACACACACATACACACATACATATGCATATGTACTGGTATTTATTGGGTATCTTTTCACTTTATTAAAATAGAGGAAGTTTTAATATAATTAATTCTTTTTCCAACCTGCTTCTTCAAGGATTGTAATAGAAGATAATCTTGAGATTTGTGTTTTCTTCAGATATCTTAGTTGATATTAGCAAATTTACATGTAGATTAACTTGTGACTTAAATTTGGGTAAATTCAACTTTAGTTTTGAAATACATGTTTCAGTATCTCTGTTTCGGTTTAGTCCCAACTCTGCTATTTACTCACTGTGTTTTTGGGTAAGTAGCTTTGCTTCTTTGAACCTCAGTTTTGGACTAGGTGCTTTCATTGACCTTCATGCTGAATAAATTATATTTTAAAATATTTTTAGAAAACACATAAGAACCACTCAGAGGCTAAAAACTTGGTAGAAATAGGAATGCAGAGAACAAAGCAGAACCCTGAAGTTAAGACTCATCTTGAGGAAATTTGCAGAACCCAGTGATCATGAGCTTTGGATTTCATAGCTAAGTGGGATGCAGAAGAGAAAAGATAAAGCCTAGTACTTACATGAACAGGGGAACAAATACAGGAACCACTACTAAAATGGAGACCCTAATCAGGGAACTAATAATAAACTTGTCCACCACCCACTCCAAGAGTACAAAGAAGAATTCATCAGACTCAAGCCTTGATGTTCAGTAGAGGAGGAAAATATAGTTCCCTAAAAATGTATAGCAGTGAATTGACCATCACACATACTTCCAGGCTGATTTCATAGTTCCTGGATGATCCCAGGAAGCTGCATACAGAAAACTTAGCTAAATTTGTCCTGCAATGGTAGTGCTCTAGATGTTGGACAGAAGCAAATGCAGATTTACTTTGGAGGATCCACCTTCAATTAGGGGCTCAATAGAGTTGAGAAAAGTTACAACAAATATTGGTTCATAGTCAAAAATCTTGAATACCACAATGAAACAAAATAGAAGGACTTAGGTAAAATAACAGAATAGCAAAGGTCAAACCTAACAAAGAAATTAATAGCGGATTTGATACAACTAAGGAGAAAACTGATTAGCTAGAAGCTAAATGGGAAAAAATCCAAAATGCACGAAGAATTACTTAAAAATAATAGATAAGAGAGACGAAGGATAGAGTAATAAATTCTAATTTTAATCTAATGAGAATTTCTGACAGAGAAAGAAGAAAATAAGACAGATATAATGTTTGAAAATAAATTTCTAATAAATTTCAGAACGGGTGAAATGTCACTAAACTACAAATTTAGAAAGTCCAAAAAAGCCCTGTTAAAATAAAGAAAAAGAAAATCCACCTCTAAGCACCATAACGATACCAAATGCAGAGAGAAAAATCTTCAAACAGGCAGAGAAATATGACGTTCAGCAATACTCTTGAAGAAATAGCAATTAAATTGACAGCTCATTTTCCAATTTCTACAATGAGACAGAAAACAGTGGACTACTATCTTTATTGTTATAGAATAAGTTACTATTAACTTAGAATTGTATATCCAATAAAAATATCTTTCTGGAATGAAGGAAAAATAGAAGTGTTTTTAGACAAATAGACATTTGTGAGAATTTGTCACCAGTAGGCCCTCACTAAGGGAAATATTAAAGGACATAGTTTAGGCAAAAGGAAACTGATCCCAGGCAGAAGATATAAAACGTGAGAAGAAATGATTTAATAGACTAGTAAAGTTCAGGAAAATATAGATAAAATTTGATTAGTTAAAACAATGTTAATCCTATCTAATAAAGGGAGAATATGCAAATTGACCATCACACCATAACAAGATGACGGCGCCCACAGCAGAGGCAGGGATCCTGTAACATAAGATGGCTTCACCCACAGTGGAGGCGGGGTTCTCATAATGAGCTGTAACGAGCTATCAGCAGGGACCTGAGGCTATGTGGCGCTGGGACGGGGCAGGGGACCTAAGGCTGCACCCCTGCCCAGTGGGGCTTGATGGGGCACCTCAGGCAGTGTCTCCCACCCCAGCGCCAGGACAGGGGACCTGAGGCCACGCCCCCTGCCTGGCTTGGCTTGACAGGGGACCTCAGACCACGCCCCCTGCCCTCAGGCCATGCAACCTGCCCCAGCGCTGGGCTGGAGAACCTGAGGCTGCGCTCCCACCACCTGGCGGGGCTTGACGGGGGACCTCAGACCACACCCCCCACCTTGGCGCTGGGCTGGGGGACCTGAGGCTGCACCCCTTGCTCGGCGGGGCTTGATGGGTGGGGCCAGCTGGGTCTGGATCTCTCCCAATGGGGTTGGGGCCGACCGGGTCTGGGTCTCGTATGATTTCAAGGTGCACGCACGCGGGTGGGGACTTGACTCTGGGTCCCGCGGCAAGCCCCACATTCTGACAGGAGGAAGATTTTCATATTCATTTTACTAATTTTCTTTCATCTCTGACACTTCTAGTATAGAGAAAGGGCAAATAGTGATATTAAAATATTTTTCTAATTAATTTCCTTTCAATGTGCACAAATTTGTGCACTGGGCCACTAGTTGGACTAT